TCCCAGTTGGCCGTGTTGATTTGCAGGCGCTTCAGGGAGGACTTCAGGGTATCCTTGTAACGGCGAATTTGGCCTCAATGACGGCGTGAACCAGTCGCGACGTCTCCGTAGAAGAGTCGTTTGGGTAGTCGCTCGTCGTCCATGCGCACCAGGTGGCCGATCCAGCGCAGCTGCATTTGTCTCAGTATGACGTAGATGCTGAGGTTCCCGTCCGTTCCGGCACATCAGTGTCGGGGATTCGATCCTGCCAGTACAGCCTCAGGATGCGACGAAGACAACTGACGTAGAAGTGGTTCAGTCGGCGTGCCTGATTTGCGTACACCTTCCAAGTCTCCGCTCCATACAGTAGCGACGGGAAGTTCTCCACCACTTGCAGTTGGGTTCCGTTCACGCTGATTTGCGGCGACGCGTTGTGAGCTGTGGCTGAGTTAGGTGGCGGTTGGTGCATCACCATCATCTTCTGCTCGTTAATGACCAGAACGAAGTTCTCGCAGGCGGCGGAGAACAGGTCCATGCTCCGTTGCATCTCCTCTTCCGAGGTGGTGTTCAGGGCGAAGTCGTCGGCGAAGAGGAGTTCGTGCACGTTGGTTGTGGATACGCGCGATTGGAAGTGCATCCGCCGTTGATTCAGCAGGTGACCGACCGTCCTGTAGGCGATGCGGATCCCTGGGCGTTCGTCGCGGTAGGCGTCCATCAGTATGGCAGAGAACGTGAGACTGAAGAGGGTAGGCGCCAGTACGCAGCCCTGCTTCACTCCGCTGGTCACTGCGAATGCCTCTGAGACAGCTCCGATGTCCGTGACTTGCGCCATCATACCGTCATTCAGCTGACGCACCATCTGTGTGAATCGCTCTGGACAGCCGAATTTCCGCATGATATTCCACAATCCTTCACGATTCACCGTGTCGAAGGCTTTCGTCAGGTCCACGAAGGTAGAGTACAGGTGAGTCCGCAATTCCTGACACTTCTCCTGAAGTTGACGGGCGGCGAAGATCATATCCGTGGTCCCACGATGACGACGGAAGCCGCACTGGCTTTCAGGCAGAACGCCCTGTTCCAGATGGTTATTGAGACGGTTGAGGAGGATTCGCACAAAGATCTTCCCGGCGATGTTCAGGAAGGAGATGTCACGGTGATTGTCGCAGACTTGGCGACTTCCTTTTCGCTTGTAGAGATGCAGGATGGTTGCATATTTGAAATTTTGCGGAACTCCCCTTTGATGCCACATCACCTGGAAGATCGCAGTCAGGTGATCCATCAGTTGGGGACCCACGTGCTTGTAGACCTCAGCAGGGATTGCGTCCGATCCGGGTGCTTTCCCGCTGGAGAGCTGCTGCACGGCCCTGATGGTTTCCTGGGGAGTTGACGGGAGTTCGAGGTCCACGCTGGTCTGCACATTCGGCAAACTCTCGATGGCGGCGTCGGAGATGGTGGAGGGGCGGTTGAGGACGCCTCGGAAATGCTCGGCCCATCGCTGCAGGATTTGCGTCTTCTCAGTCAGGAGAGTGTTGCCGTCAGCGCTGAGGAGAGGAGGAGTGCCCTTCGTTGGCGGACCGTAGACAGCCTTGATCGCGGAGAAGAATTTCTTCCATTCGTTGCGGTCCGCGTAGCCTTGGATCTCCTCAGCTTTGCGAGCAGTCAAGGCGTCCTGCATCTCGCGCAGTCGTTGCTGAAGCTGGCGCCGACAGCGGTAGAAGGCAGCTTTGTTGTCCTCAGTGGGGTGATCTACGTAGGCTTTGTGTAGGCGGCTTTTCTCAGCAAGCATATTTCTAATGGCGGCGTCGTTGTCGTCGAACCAGTCCTAGTGTTGGCGGGGAGCGCGACCAAGGACGGCGAGCGCCGACGCCGGGACCGTGTCTCGCAGTTGATACCAGCGGTTCCCCACGAAAGCGTTCTCGGCAGTGGTGGCGGCGTCGTCTGCGGCAGCGATTGGAAGGTTGTCTAGCCGTTGAGCTAACTCATTGCTGAAATGGAGATGGTAAACGTGCAAAGACAACAAAGCAACATTCAGCTTACCTGGGGGTCGCTTACCGTGTGGTCGCCTGCGAGGCTGTAGGCGAATACGCATCTTCGAGATGACGAGGCGATGGTCGGTCCACTCGTCAGCCCCCGCGATCGCCTTTGTCACCAGCACGTCCCGATGATCTCGCCTCCGGACGAGGACATAGTCCAGCAGGTGCCACTGACGCGACCGAGGATGCCTCCAGCTGGCATTCTCTCGCTCCGACAGGCAGAAGAATGTGTTCGTCAGGATGAGGCAGTGTTCTGCGCAGGTGCGGAAAAGCAGCAGGCCGCTGTCGTTGGAGCCGCGGAGACCGTGGGGAGCCAGCACTCCCCTCCAGGCAGTATGGTCTGTGCCGACGCGGGCGTTGAATTCGCCAAGGACAATCAACTTGTCCGCCTTCGACACAGTCGCCAAGAGGGCGTGCAGGTCCTCGTAGAATTTGTCTTTTGCGGCGGCGTCGGGGCTGCTCATCGGCGGAGCGTAGGCGCTGATGATGGTGGCGAATTTGCCCCTACCCCCGATCTGGAGAGGCAGACGGAGGCTCATCAGACGATCGTTGATGCCCTGCGGCAAACAGGGCAGTCGTCCCACGATGTCGTTCCGGATGGCGAAGGCGACACCCGCGTCACGTCACTCTGCCCTGGGTCGACCACTCCAGAAGAAGGTGTAGTTGACACCCGCCTCCTCCAGTTGGCCTTCTTCGGGGAATCGGGTCTCGCTGAGTGCGGCGATGTCCACCTTGTAGCGCGCCAGTTCTCGTGCCACTAGCGCCGTCCTCCGTTCCAGTCGGTTGCTCCTCGGATTGTCTAAAAGGGAGCGAACATTCCAGGCTGCCAGAGTGAGCGGGCTCACCCTGCCAGTCTGGTGACAACGAGTGGCGCGACGGGAAGGAGATGAAGAAGAAGGTGACTAAGGGGAAGAATAGGCAGTAGAATAGGCAGAGGAAGAGGAAGTAGAGGTAGGATGAGGAGGTGAACGAGTATTGATTTGTTTCGATTCTTGTTGTTTCGACCATGTTTACACGTCTGCGGCCCTGGCTAGCCTGGAGACGGCGTGGTGCCCAGCAATGTTTAGGCCACCTTTTCTAGGCCCTCCCCCTCGTGGGGGCTGGCAGTGCCATCCCTGAATAGGGCTGCCATATGCCATTGCGGCACGGCCGAACTCCACTATGGGGCCACGACTTCGCGTTGTAGTGGAGAGCGACTCGAATTCGCCGTAAGCCGCGGTCTACGACGGCGTAGGTGGGCGCGTCAAGGCGAGGTCGATGTGGAGATCCATCCCGTCACCGGCAGTCCAGCGGAGTGCAGAGACGGACCACGTCACGACGGTGCCGACGCAAGGTTCCATCCGACCTTCCATCCAGCGGAATCCGCAAACCCTGTGCACACGGCACAGCGCACAGGGCCCCCTCACCTGGTTTAGCCCGCCGGTCGAGACGGTTGCCCGGGGTGTGGCCGCTGAGCAGTGCCCAGCTATGTGGAGCCACAGGTGAGAGTTGAGTGCCAGCAAGTGAACGCTAGGCGTAGTCTCACCTGCAAGCAAGTGAGCGACCACCACGACCATTACGGGAACCCACCGCTGACACCCCTACACCCCGCCTGCGTCGATAAATGCATACAGAAAAAACCAGTTTATCAAATAATCCTCAGGACTCTATATGTTTTCGAGAAAGGCCTGTCGACCCTGCTTATAGGGAAACAGAAGTTATTCCATAGTAACATAATGAGGAGCATGCGAAACAGATGCCCATTCCTCCTGCCTGCAGATATTGTTATGTCCTCAGTCGTCAGGTCATTTAAGATAAAGCTGGTTCGGTACCCAATTACACTTCATAATGCCACACGACCAATATCGTCCGCACGCTTCGTGATAACAATTAATTACCGTTTTAATATTACTGCCTATGTTTCAGTAACGTTTTCTAATTGTTTGTGATTCGCATACTGACATACTGCAGATAATTGAAATCCTGCTACTCACACTGCAACATGATTATGCGAAAACTGACATCGGTAAACCGTAATTAGGCGCACGGGAGTTTCTTACACTTAAATTGCATCGCTCATCTCATCGCCTCACACAAATCCAGTCCCATAAGTTCGATGAACAGACCATTAAACAAAATCTCGGAGAGCAGATGTGGCCAGTTACTTGTCCACGTGGCTGTCATACCGGGCCGTTAACTTGCTTTCAGGTGCAAACTACGCCTAACGACCACTTGCTGACTTCCAAATCTTACATGTCGCTCCCCGAAACTAGGCTCTGCTTGGCGGCTTGGCTGGCTGGTGGTCTGTGAGTCAGGCTGCAATGGCTCCTTCTTAATGTGGCATCTATGGCAATGTCACTGCGTGGGATCCGAGCCGGGTGTGGCGCACGCCTAGGTGCCGCATCGGCCATGCCAGCCCCCGCTCTCTCTGTTGTTGGTGGTAAAGAAAAACTGGTTATTTGTTATGTGGACAAGGGGTTGTGCGGTGGAACACCATGGTGCGGGCTCGACCGTGCCATCTGGCTGCACCCTCACCCACCTCCGGTCTTCTTGGCACTGTATTGACGCCGGGTGCAGTTGGGAAGTAGAAAAGAGTGTGATAGATGCAACGCAAGTATTCCATCACTACAAACAAAAGCAAACGCAAGCCAACATCTCTGATATCTCGCCGATTTAGGGCGTACGGTTAACGACGTCTGATGAAACGGTTGAAATGTCGTGTGCCTGTGCGTGTGCGTGTGAGAGTAGATCCGTCCAAAAAATCAGCCTGCGGCCTCCCTCGTCTCCGGCTTCCTTGACCCTGTCTTGACTCTGGGCCCAGGCGTGGGAGGAGGAGAGAGTGTAGGTTGATGCAGCCAAAGACTACTGGCACGACAAACCGCTGCGCAAGTCAAAGACCCTGCTCCCACCGCTGCTGCAGCTGTGGGGCACACGGTGGATATCATCGAAATTGATGGTTAAACTATCGTGTGTGTGTGTGTGTGTGTGTGTGTGTGTGTGTGTGTGTGTGAGTGTGTGTGTGTGTTGTGCCCTCCGGGGTGTAGGGGTGTCAGCGTTGGGTTCACGTAATGGTCGTGGTGGTCGCTCACTTGCTTGCAGGTGAGACTACGCCTAGCGTACACTTGCTGGCACTCAACTCTCACCTGTGGCTTCACGTAGCTGGACTCTGCTCAGCGGCCACATCCCGGGCAACCGTCTCGACCGGCGGGCTAAACCAGGTGAGGGGGCCCTGTGCGCTGTGCCGTGTGCACAGGGTTTGCGGATTCCGCTGGATGGAAGGTCGGATGGAACCTTGCGTCGGCATCGTCGTGACGTGGTTCGTCTCTGCACGCCGCTGGACAGCCGGTGACGGGATGGATCTCTACATCGACATCGCCTTGACGCGCCCACCTACGCCGTCGTAGACCGCGGCTTACGGCGAATTCGAGTCGCTCTCCACTACAACGCGAAGTCGTGGCCCCATAGTGGAGTTCGGCCGTGCCGCAACGGCACATTGCAGCCCTATTCAGGGATGGCACTGCCAGCCCCCACGAGGGGAAGGGCCTAGGAAAGGTGGCCTAAACAATGCTGGGTATCACGCCGTCTCCAGGCTAGCCAGGGACGCAGTCGTCTAATCATGGTCGAAACAATCGAAATCGAAAAATCAACAATACCAATAACAATAACAACCATACTGATTCTCCTCATCCTAACTCTACATACTCTTCTTCTGCCTATTCTTCTCTTTCGTCAACTTCCTCTCCATATCCTACCCGTCGCCCCACTCGTTGTCACTAGACTGGCAGGGTGAGACCGCCCACTTCATCACCCTGCGTCCCTACCACACCTCCAGCCACTGACACCGACTTCACCTGCCCAAACTACCTATGTACTTTCTCCTGTCGCATCGGCCTGGTCGGTCGCTTGCAAATCCATCGCACGGAGACTGGCGAACCAGTGCCTGGAGCACCAACCTACACTCACCGCACTCGCCTCCGCTGCCCACACTGCCCTCGCACCTTCACGCATCGCATGGGTCTATTCGGCCACATGCGCATCCACGAGAGCGGAATTGACCACAATTCCGACACACCCGCCACATCCAACACATCCACCATGCCCAGCCCCACCCTCGCTCCTTCGCCCGCGCCCGTCACCACCACCACCACCACCACCACCACCGCCTCCTCTGCAGCTGACACCGACACCGTTGACCTCTTGCCCACACTCTGCACTCATCTACACCCACCACACTCGACTCACCTGCCAACACCGCCCTCGCACTTTCACGCACCTCTTGGGCCTATTCGGTCACATGCTCATCCACGACATCGGAATTGGCCGCCATCCCGTCTCACCCGACAAGCCAAACCCCACACTCACTTCATCGCCCTGTGCTCCCACCAACCCCTCGGCAACTGACACCGACGCCAGCGACTTCACCCCCCACACTGTCCACGCACATTCACCTCTCGCATCGGCCTGGTCGGTCACTTGCGAATCCATCGCACAGAGACTGGCGAACCGGTGCCTGAAGCACCTACATATACACGCCGCATCCGACTCCAATGTCCGCACTGCCCTTACACATTCATGCATCTCATGGGCCTATTCGGCACCATGTGGATCCACGAAAACCTGCGGTAGGCAACCGCCGGCGGTTCCACACCACCACCTCACCGCTCATCAACATCACCGACCGCAACCATCCAAATGCAACATCCCACGCTTGTGTGAATTGTGCGAATCGACTCGGTCTCCATGTGGCTCCTTTTGCATGGGTGAAGCGAGCCTGAAACTGCAACGGCACGTAAAGCCCCGTGGCTGGGAATGCTGCTGACTGAGGCCGAAATCAGTCCTGGTGCATTTGTGTGGAGTGGCGGAAAAATAGGCTGTTAGCCAGGCTGAAGTAGCTTGTGCCGAGGCGCCAGACTATCTTGCCTTTCCCTATCTATTTTTCATTCTTGAACTTACTGGTTGTTTATCTGAATGGAAGGAACACTACTATACGCGACGCGCTTGGCATGTGTTGGATTGTCAGGTCGTTTGACTTTTGATTGTTAATTCTTTCATATCTCTGGTCTTATCCTAATATTCACAGTCTGGGATTGAGTTTTCTGTCTTTAGTGCTCCCAACAGTGGTGGCCTTTTGACGTTCGCGCTTATGCCTTTAATTTGTTGACTTTCTATTTGCATACCGTCCGTTTGCCTTCCTTCTTTCTACCATCATGACCTCTACAAATTCCAACGATGCCACTGCTTCACTCAGTGGACTCGTTTCTTCTCTCCCAGACTTTTGGCAACACGCGCCAGAGCTTTATTTTTTCCGTATCAAGGCGACATTTAACTCCGCCAAGATAACACATGAAACGGACAAATATTAAAATCTGGTCAAGGTCCTTCCTCCGACTATTCTTTCCCAAGTGCGAACGTTTCTGAGAGATCCCCGACTGATGCTCCCTACACCAAGTTAAAGGTTGAACTTCTTCGCCTGACAGCAGTCTTCGATCGGCAGCGTTATCACGCGCTGGTAAAAGTGGAAGCCTTGGGTATCGCAAGCCGTCGGAACTCTTGCGTCGTATGCGTTCTCTTGTTGGGAACATGACAATCGACGACAAGTTCTTTAAAGATATATTCTTAGAACGTCTGCTGACGTCGGTACAAACAATTTTGGCCCCTGGCTCCGACGACCTAGACATATCAAAGTTAGCGGAGATGACTGACCGTATGATGGAGGTTGAGCGTTTGTCATCCCCGAGGATCGCTCAGGTTTCCCAGACTCTCACTGTGTCCACTTCCTATCGATTGGAAGCTGGCGCATATTACTCCGCTACACAAAGGAGGTAACAGGGCAGCGACGACAAATTACCGGCCCATAAGCTTGACATGCATTCTCTGCAAAGTTATGGAAAGGATCATAAAGTGTGAACTAATGCAATTCCTGGAAGTTCACGGCCTGCTATCGAAATGCCAACATGGGTTCCGGAAGGGAAGATCCTGCACGACAAACTTGCTGCAATCTCTCCAGAGCTGGACCCAAGCTCTCGACGACAGGCACGCGGTCCACATAGCCTTCATCGACTTCCAGAAGGCTTTCGACACTGTGCCACACCAAAGGCTCTTACACAAGCTGAAAAAAATAGGGATCGGTGGCAACTTCCATAAATGGATCGAAAACTTCCTTGTGGGTCGACAAGAGGTTGTGTGCGTCGGTCGGGGAAAATCAGATCCGGCTATGGTCGATAGTGGTGTCCCACAGGGTTCAGTACTGGGACCCATTTTGTTCCTTATATACGTGGACGATGCCGCAAGAGATTTAGACTGTGAAGTAGCAATGTTTGCGGATGACATGAAGATATGGACTGTAATTCGGGGTCCTGCCGACGAAGACAGACTGCAGATGAACCTGAATCGGTTGGAGGAGTGGTCAAACCGTTGGCTCCTGCGGTTCAACGTTGCCAAATGTAGCATACTTCGCCTAGGCAACACAGCCAGATCCGCCAGCACAAGAGGCTACTTTCTGGGCGGTGCAGCCCTACAAGAGGTCGAAGCCCAAAAGGACCTCGGTGTGCTTACGACGAGTTCTCTAAAACCATCCGCCCACTGTTCGAGGGTGGCAAAAACCGCAATGTCCGTACTGTACGCCATCAAGCGTGCGTTTATGGACTTTGACGAAGAAGCTTTCTCTAAGACATTCGGAACATTCGTCCGGCCGCATTTAGAGTAC